TGTCTTTTTACTTTCATTTGCAGCAGCATCACTGTGAAAAAGCATTCAAAGAAAATTAAAGGCAGCATTATGCAACTGCTAAAAGAGCGCTGAAAGTGTGCTTAGTCACATGCATCTGTAAATAGCTTACATTGCATGATTATTGAAGCGAATGAAAAGAATTTGCAACTTAAATAAGCCAATGCAATGACTAATGGTCTGAGCTATTAAGTTTGTTAAATTAATGGCAGACACTCAGAGGCGGAGCTAAAATTTGAAGTTTGTGGGTTCGAGATTCTAAATTCTTTAAATTACTGGGTTCTAAATTAATAATTTATACATATTTAATAAATTTTTTAAGACATACATGATTTGCACCAAAGCCACTGGGTTCGGTCGAACCCATATCTCCTACTCTCCCTCCGCTCCTGCAGACACTTCAACAGAAAGAAACATACTGTGGGTAAAGGAATACCCTAGTGGAACCAACAACACGAGCATCTAAAACCAACTGATGACCTTTTGAAAGAAATTAAACCATTACCGTGGCATTACTCATTGCATTCATCCTAGCAGCAAGCTCACTCGCAAATGACTCTTCAAGTGCCCTCAAAATCTGGCTATTCAAATAGAGTGGCATGAAAGCATCAAGAATCTGAGCAGGATGTTGCTCAAAGTCTAAATTACGCAACTCACTTTCCCTTTTAACCCTGAAATGATCCCTCTCAACAATCATTTTCCCCTCCTTAGTAGTCAACATAAAGAAGTCATCTTTATCTACATCAAAATTTTTCCCATTAACATCAAGACTTCTCCTTTCGACGAAATTAGAAGCAGCGTATGTATTACTGGATCAGATTTAATCAACGAAACAAATTTAGCATACAACGGATATGGAGTAATGATGGAGTATGCTGGAGTAATGCTACAGAAGTACTTGTCTTTTTCTTTAAAAGGATTAGTACACCTGAAAAAGCAGAAATTTGTCTTTAGTTATTATCAAAAAAACAAAGAGCATTTATACATATGTGTAATTCACATTAATTAAGACATCATATTTTGTTGTATTGTACTTTGGATCAGAAGTGTATAAGAACATGAGCAAGTTTCCGAACCAGTATATGAGAACATGAGCAAGTGAATAGGCAACTTAATGGAGAAAAAATTAGACTGCATAGTTAGCTGGTCAGAAGCAAACCTTACACATCATAAGAATTTTCATTGCATGTTCACCTAGCAGCTTCTGAACCTCCACGAGATCTGAACCGTTACGAACAAAAGAAAACGCAATCATGTCAATAAGATTCGGAACTCCCCAATTTAAAATGTCATCCTTGTCTTTATCTGTCAATGCTGGCAGATCCACAATTACTCACCGGAGATTGAAATTATTTGTTTCGCCAAGAACAGCAATGTTCTCACAACGGCATCATACCAAACCGTTCTCTTTGTCACAAGACAAATCTGTAAAGGTGATTGTGCCATCTGCACAGATGATCACACTTTATGGCTTTACATCCTCTGCTAACTTTTTGTAGCTCATGCTTATCATACTCTCATCAACTTTAATGATGTAATAAGTTGAGATTGTGATCTCCTGACCCTATTTAAGTTGAACAGGCTTAGCATATTTTTAAAATCCTGTTCCAATTTCTGGACCGTACAAGATAAAAATGAAGCGTCAGAACTTTCACATAAAAAGGTAAAGGCAAGACAGGGCTAGGCAATCATATATTATATACTTTTTAATATGCGTAATTCTGGCACGTCGACGAGTCTTGCTGCTGCAGAAATCAAAGATTTTATAGCTTCTCTACATCCCTCGGGACATGTCCGATAAACAAAATTACACAGAATGAACGAACAGGTGGTAAATCATCTTGTATTGAGAAAGGGAAAAAGGTAGTCGAAATCAGTTATGAAAATTTTCTGCACAACCTTTGTATAAAGCAACAATCATTATAACTAACAGTAATATATCTAAATAAGCCTTCATGAGAATAAAAAAGTTGACCAAATATTTAATTACCAGTATATCTTATGGGAAGCTGTAGAAGCAAGTTGTAATTTTCTACCTGTGTGAATATAAGAACAACTCATGTGCTCTGTGCAGAGTTAATGATAAGAAATGCAAAATATGATGGTTAATGCAATGCAACATTAAAATCTAAATGATGACCTCCACAGAAGTTGCTTTAAGTGAAGCATTTGACAAAATGTAAATGCATTGGCTAAATATTGAAGATTAAATGGTACCTTGATTCTATCGTATGATGCCCATTCGTTAAATACTTCTGGCTCTACTCAAACTACTTCTAATAAAGAGGAATTAAAGTTATCACCTGCAATGTTGCAGCAGTGATCAAAGGAGGCACCATTTAGCGAATCCATAAGAGAAAAGTTCTTTATGCGCTTACCAGAGACAAAGCACTGTGCAACAAATTTGAATTTGGCATAAACAATCTCAATTTTCTCAGTATCTATGTATTCAGCTTGTGCCAACATGAAGATAATCTTCTTCCTATTCATAATGAGCATTCAGAACATTGACATGTACAATAACATTGACCAATTGAAAAAGTGTAAAATTAGTAATTATTATAGACAATATAAATGAAGATTGTATAATAATTAATAAATGTCATGGTCTATCTAAGATATAGCAATTGGTATTGTAATAATGTGAAGAAATCAGATTATTTCATCAACAATAAGTGCAGGACAGTGGTATGACTTTTTAAAATGACATACTGACAGATTTAAAACTATCACCCATTGTATGACATTTTAAAATCACATATTAGTTGAATAGATTGACTGCATATATAGATAGAAAATACAGTTTTTAAATAAAAAGAGGATATCTAGTTAAACAAATTGGAAAAAAGTGCAAGTGTCGTAATAAGTTCAAGAGTATTTTCCGAAGAAACAGAACGAAACAGTAAAATTATTATACTGATAAAAGCCCTCATCCTTTTCAGTTTCATAAGCAAAGAAGTACCTTTAGTCAATAGTACGGACAAAGTACAAAAATAATTCATTTCTTTACAATGATGGGAGAGCAAGAAATTACACTGAAACTCTTTTAGCTAAGTAAAGAAGTTCTTAAAGATTATATAAGTATCCAGATTATGTTCGTTATATAATTTAACTATTAATCCAAATATTTTAACAACAAAAAGTGAATTGTTGTAGTATATTGAAATCTTCTACAACCAATCGAGGAAGTAGGTTTAAAAATTTGTGAACAGCATAACAACAATTGAAGATTTTGCTATTTAAAATTAAAGACGCAAAATACTTGTAAGTAAAAGAAGTTGATTTGTAATACATTTTCATCTTGTAGAACCAATTCAACGGAGAAATTAGTGTTTGAATTGTAACAATCCCGTGCTTTCCATAGACGAACAACCCGACATTTAAACTTCTGTTGCATCCTCGAAATTGTTATGTCCTTAATGAAATAAAAATGAGTAGCCATATTTTGCATCAGCCCTAAGTTAACTTGAAATCAAATGACATCATTAGGAAGGATAGAATTGAAGTAGCGTATAATATTGGAAGAAATATAACTTTGCGAGTTATTTGTTAGTAGATGTAAACATTAAGAAGTTAATAGTTAAAAGTGACTGAAAATAGTAACAACAAATGATGATGAGATAAAAGTTAAGCTTACCAATTGAAGTTGTCAACTGTTGTTTCTGAACTTTATTTCCAATATGGTTTAGCAAAGACAGAAGCATGAGAACCAAAAATGTTGCGAAAATATATCAGATTTGCTATCATTCTCCAAGTAAATTACGGAAAACTTCTTTGTAAACCACATTTTTTGCTTCATTTGAAATTTCTCCATCATCATCATAAACCAAAATTTTTAATCCCTTTCTTTTTGTAACCCGTGATAGAGCAACGTAAAGCTGGCCATGTGTGAAGACCGGTTTTTTCAAATATAACCCAACATGAGATAAAGATTGTCCTTGACTTTTGTTTATCGTCATTGCAAAGGATACAACTATTGGAAATTGCCTTCGTTGGAATTTAAAAGGTATTCTTGCATCAGATGGAGTTAATGACATTCTCGAAATGAAGACCTTTTGTCCAGCCATATTTCCCGATAAAATTTTTGCTTCGATAACTCGATTACCAAGTCTAGTGATGATTAATCTTGTTCCATTACATAGCCCTGAAGATGGGTCTATATTTCTCAATAACATCACTGGGACACCCACTTTCAAAGTGATAACATGATTTGGAATTCCAGAACACTTAATAGTGTTTAGGAATTCAAGTGTATGTATGTGTTCCAAACCTGTAAAAGCATCGTCTGACATGCAAATTGTATCGAAACTAAAAAATGTTTTTGGTTGACTTTGGTTTAGTGAAACCATGTATTCGTTGATTGATTCAACCATGTCAAGAGTGGGAGCAAGAATTCCTCTTTGTTGCAGGTATGTTAAATCAGTGCAATGACTTAAAAAATCTGGATATGTACTTTCCACAATCGCAGAAATTGGATCGCCACAATTATTTATGATAAGATCATCAGAGATGTGAACTTTATCGATACCATCAACAGAATTTCCAATCATACCATCACCTATTGCTAAAATCCAATCAGAAAATTGTCTTAGATCATTCAAATGTGAATCCACCTGATTTCCTTCCAACCTCATATTTTTTGTTAGCTTTAACACTTGACAGTGATTCCACAAATATGAAGAATTAAGGGTAGCATTAACAATATCTTGTCTACTACCTTTTGGAATGACTGGAAGTATTTGTCTAAAGTCACCACCAAGAACAACGGTTTTTCCTCCAGATGGACGATCTAAATTGGATGCATCTTTAAATCTAAGAATATCTCTTAGAGTTCTGTCTAGAGCTTCAAAACAATATCTATGCATCATTGGTGCTTCATCCCAAATAATTAACTTTGTCTTGACAATCAATTTTGATAAAGGAGTACCTTGCTTGATATTACATGTTGAATCTTCAGTTGCATTTAGTGGGATTGCAAATCTCGAATGAGCTGTTCGGCCTCCTGGTAACAAAAGAGATGCAATTCCGCTGGATGCAACTGTTAACACAATATCTCCTTTAGATCTTATGGCAGATGACAAAGTCCTCCAAATAAATGTCTTCCCGGTTCCTCCATGACCATATAAAAAGAAGAATCCACCTTTGTCCTCAAGCACTGCTTTGATAATTCTGTCATAAACTAACTTTTGCTCCATTGTCAATTTAACCAATAAATCTTCATGTTCCCTAGACAAAGAGCACCTATTATAATGCATTTCTTCACAGATTAGTGCATTTGTGTTGTCAATTTCCTCTTCATTGAAAACCGGTCTTGGCATTGTTGGAAAATCGTATAACGTTCTTCCGCAACCTTTCAAAAAAATTTCCAACTTTTGTAGACAACGATTCTTTAGTTCATCATTTGTTAGCTCAGCCTCTAAAATAATAAAAGTATATAATTAATTAATTTATCATAAAAGTATATAGTTGCCTTAAGTCATATAAAGATAAGATCAAAATGATTTCCTTCGGAAATAATAAAAGAAAATTAATGTAACCTTAATTCGTTGGAAGGCGACATCAATTATGTCTCTAACAAAATATATTAATAATTAATCGCTCATAATTTGCAAGCCTAAATGTAGATCGTAGAATAAACTAAGATTTAATTTGTATGCACAATTAATGTAAAAATAATTTAACAATTTTATAATATTAAAATCTTAAGTAGAAGGTCGAATTGTATACCTGGATTATCCAACATTCTTCTTTCTTCATGTAAGATATCATCTGATAATAAAATCCATGTTGCCTCCCAAACATATTCTGGTCGTAACATTGAATTGGATAATAGTAACATAGCAAATAATTGCCTAAGATATGATGGCATTCCCCTGTTACTTGCCTCCTTTATGGCATCCACATACTCTTTGTCATCATCTAATAAACCCATTGCATAACATGCATCTCTAAAAGTTAAATAGTCGTGATTGTTGATTCTGCGTAAATCCTCATAACACTTAGGTCCTTTAATTACATTCAACAACATTCGAAGGTAATATTGCTCTCCACTTCCAAGTGGTACAAAGAATATTCTTCCTATTGAAAAAGCTGAATTTCTTCTTTTTTCCCACTTTTTTAGTTTTTTATTCCACACAAACTTAAGAGAAAATTCTGCATATGTTAATTCTCTTGCTTCTTCATATGTATTATTTGCCTCGAACCAGCTTAAAAACTTTGATTCCTTTACACTTG